GCCATCCGCCAAAGCATTCGGCGGCTGGTGGACTCAGCCCCCAAAAACTATCCGTGGCTGGCGGGAAAAGAAGTTCGGCCGCTGAATAAAGCCAAGAAGCCACAGAATCAGAAGCCAGAAGACCAGAACCCACTTAAAGGGAAACAACAAAAAAGCACCAAATTACATGACAATGATACTTGTACCCCTCCAAAGGATAGCCGCCTCAACGGACGAATCGGCCCCCAAAGAGGCGCCGCGTGGATCGCCGCGGTCCGCCGAGGCTCCGAGGGCACACCGTCCAAATACCCAAAACCTGGGGAGATCACTGAGCAGCGCGGAGGGGGGGCGTGCTATTGATGTGAATTGGTGAGGGGCAGAGCACCTGGCACCATCCAAGTTGGGAGGTTGAAGATGCTTTAGTATGTCCAAGTTGAGGCCGAGGGTTGGTGACGAAAGCTAGCAGGGCGGGGGTGAAGCGAGCGATATCCGACCGAGTGCTGCCCGGAACAGTCTGCCAGCGGAAATACACACGTCCCAGGGAGGAGTTGAACTGGGAGGGGGGGTGGGGTCACCCCCTCGATATATATGAAGTTTTCATGCGATGCGGCGCTCTCGAGGATTGCAGCCCCTCACTTGCTAAAGCAAGAACAACTCCAGCTAGCTGGCGCTAGCTTTCGTGATGAGTTTGATTCGTCATGGAACCCTTATCTCAAAGACATCTTTGGGGTGCCAGTGCTTGTCTACTCCGATAGCACTGTAGACATGACATGCCAGACAGGTTCCAATTGTTTGCACTCATGCGACTCACCCGACAGAATCCCTGCCTGCTGCACTGTGCAGGCTGCACTTACTAGAGGTCACGAGTGAGAACAAGTAGCTACATCAACGCCCACAGTTAGAGATGTTAGAGAAACCCTCCAAACTTCCAACATTCAAGCAACCTGCAAATCTTCGTCCGCTTCAACTTGTTGCGCAATTCCGAGGGAGCCATGGCTTCAACCCCTCGAATGGACGGGTTCGCTCCACCCGTGCGCGGACCGCCTCGCCCGAGTTTAGACCCGTCCGCGGTGGAGCTTCGATCCAAATGCTTAGATCAAATGGCACCAATGGTGTGCGCAACATGCATACCCTCTGCGACATGAGCCCGCGACAGTTCGGACTTCCGCTGGGTCCCACCGAATCGGATTCTCCGTGGCCATGGAACTTCCACCAGGAACCGATGGTCCTACGCGATGTTTGGGTGTGCGCCTTCGGTCGCTCCTTCGGGTGCTGAAACACGGCGGAAGCTCCGCCATGCAGCAAACCAAGCGCCTGTGAAGGTCCGAGTGTTCACATCTGCCTTGTGGTACTGCAAGACTGAAGCAACCTCCACGACTGAAAGGGCCGTGCATGGGAACCTTTTTCCATGGAGGAGATGGGTGGGTGGGTGAAAGTCACTGAGGCGCCTTGGGGTGGGCCCGGGGTGGGCCATCTTCATCGAAATGACTCCGTGATAGGGAACAGTTGGAGGTTCTGACTAAAGACGACCTTTACAAACGTTCCAATGTTTCTATAATGCCTTGACCCTTCGTGTGACAAACTTCGCAAAAGGCGGGGGGGACAACTATGGGAACGTGCACTAGGCTCTACAAGTACCTAAGACATCTAACACCATTCACCTCATGGTGCAGCCACGCTCTCTTCAAAACATTTGGCAATTCATGTTTCACCCTTCATTTGGGGTTGCATCAGTTATGCCCCTTCACTGGCCCCTAAAGAAGGGTTCTTTGGCTCTGACCATCAGGCATTCCTTGGCTCTGAAGATTCATGAATGCTCAACGTCATCAGACCACACTACACACCGCATCTGTCCACCATCCATTTAGACCCCCCACCTTCGGCCAATTGTTGTGCGCCTCAGCGTGAATCCATGGTGTCTGCACGCCACCAAAAAACCCGCGTGTCGGCCTAAAACTGAACGCCCAATGGCATGGGGAACAATTTGCGCCCCAAGGTGGACCACCCGATTCACATGGCGACTGAAAACTCCACGCTCATATGACTCATAGGCACCCCAGAGGAGAAAAACCCTGAAGAGGCCTCCGTATTGGAACGCACGAAACACCTGTGCCCTGGTCTACCAGGTCACCTCCCCAAGGGCGGGAGAAGAGGAACCAACCAAGTCCACCGGCAGCCAGAAAATCCGGGATTGGGCCACTACGGGCCCAGCCTGACTAACAACCCACGTCATCCTCTTGCCCAAGGGACGGCCCAAGCTAATGCAGTCCACCCACACGTGTCGCGGAGGCCCACCGAAGCACGCGCCTGGGGTGGCTCTTTCAGGGGGTCCAGTGGACAAACGGTCCGATCCGTTCGGATCTTCATCCTGATTAGTACAGTAACAAGAAGCTACTAGGGTGGAGGCCATCGCTGTTGGGTTGGAGTAGGCCATCGCTAGTAGAGGTTGGAGGCAATCGCTATGAACGTAACAAGAAGATGTTCAGTACATGAATCATGTTGGAATGAGCATCTGAGTAACATCCACGGATCACGCAGCAGTGATGGACTGAGCATATTAGCAATAGTAATACAGAAAATTGAGAACTATCCCGGTAAGAGACCCCAAACAGTATGTGTGAGGTCTATAAGCAGAAAGTCTAGACGCATTGGGGTCCAGAGAGGTGACGGTGGTGATGAAGGTGATTGTGAGTGAGTGAGTGAGTGAGTGAGTGAGTGAGTGAGTGTGTGTGTGTGAGTGTGTGTGTGAGTGTGTGAGTGTGTGAGTGTGAGTGTGAGTGTGAGAGTGAGAGTGAGAGTGAGAGTGAGAGTGAGAGAGTGGGTGAGTGAGTGAGTGAGTGAGTGAGCAAGTGAGCGAGCGAGTGAGTGAGAGAGAGAGAGAGAGGGAGTGAGTGAGTGAGTGAGTGAGTGAGTGAGTGAGAGAGAGAGAGAGGGAGTGAGAGAGAGTGAGTGAGTGAGTGAGTGAGTGAGTGACTGAGTGAGGGAGGGAGGGAGGGAGAGAGTGAGGGAGAGTGAGTGGGTGAGTGAGAGTGAGTGAGGGTGGGTGAGAGTGAGTGAGAGTGAGTGAGTGTGAGTGTGAGTGAGAGTCGGAGAGTCAGTGAGTGTGAGCGTGAAAGTGAGAGTGACACTCTCACTCTCACTCTCACTCACTCATACACGCGCGAGTGCGAGTGCGAGTGCGAGTGCGAGTGCGAGTGCGAGTGCGAGTGCGAGTGCGAGTGGGTGAGTGAGTGAGTGTGAGTGAGTGAGTGAGTGAGTGAGTTTGAGTGAGTGAGTGAGTGAGTGAGAGTGAGTGAGTGAGAGAGAGAGAGAGTGAGTGAGAGAGAGTGAGAGTGAGAGAGAGTGTGAGTGTGAGTGTGACTCGCACTCGCACGCACCTCTCACCTCTCGCCTCTCACCTGTCACCTCCCACCTCTCACTTTCACTCTGAGTGAGAGTGAGAGTGAGAGTGAGAGTGAGAGTCAGAGTGAGGGAGTGAGAGTCAGAGTGAGGGAGTGAGAGAGTGAACATCTGAGAGCACGAAATGATGCGCCTGCTACGAAATCTGCACTTCGAGGTTCACCCAGTGGTGTGCCTGTCACGAAATCTGCATTTCGAGGTCTACCAAGTGCTGTGCCTGCCACGAAATCTGCAAACGAGCCACATGTCCAAAAGTCACGATTCACAGCACCTGTCACGAAGTCTGAGCTCCTCGACGATCACCACCATGTCCAAAGTGCTGCACCTGCCACGAAAACTGCATTTCAAAGTAAATCAGCTCCGATCCCTTGCACCTGTCACGAAAAGTCGACTTTCGAGCACCAAAACACAAGGTTTCCCTGGCACTTGCCACGAAAAGTGACCACCAGGTCCGAAAATGCGCACGGCGCCACAACGAGAGCGCAGTCGTTAGAAACACCCGCCGCGGGCCCCCAGACTTTGTGAGCCTGCGCAGTCGAAATGCACTTCGAGGGTTTCGAGAGGCATGAATGCACTGTAAATAGCAGCAAATTAGCCGCACACGCCCGCGCTTTTCAGGGATCTAAGCATCAGCTCCCATTCACTTACCGTAAGAACCCCTAGTGTGTCCACACTGTTTGGTGAAAAAAAATCTGCAAGCATCCGTCGGACCGCCCTTAGGGGTGATCTCATATGAGGACGGTCGCCCATGCAATTGTCTAAGAATCTGGGGTTTGTAGATGCATATATACAGGTCGCGTATGTCTCTCTAAATGACTTTCGCCTGACAATGCCATCTTCGCCAAGACTCCCTCAGTCCCTCTATCTCCAACCAGGCACGTTCCTCCATCCCCAGTTGTGCCTCCACCAGCTTCCGCGCCGCCATGGCACTGCCATGGGTAGATGCCCAGGCCAACGAGGTCTTCTGCGCCTCCCGCAGGCACAGAAGCGGGTGCATGCTTACAGGCTGCACGCCAAGTGGGCGCAAAGCGGAAAAGATTGTAATTCCCTTTCGAATCTGCACCGATGGATTCTTCGAAGCTGTATTACTGTATAGTTCTTCACAGTGTTCCCTCCCTCGGTCCTTTTGGTTCCTTTCGTTCCTCAGTGCATCATCGAACTGACTCAGTGACTCAGTGCGTCTTCGTGAAGATTGGACCCTTGACACCTGTGACGCCAGCCAGACACGCCCGCAGCTCAGCAAAGCGTGGCCTCATCTGGCAAGTCGAGCCAGGCGCCATGCTCGATGGCCTGCAAAGCTCAAGCCCACCAGTGCAAGTTGCGGGTGCTATACAGGAAATAGTCTGCAGGAAAAAGCCCAAGGAACAAGTGGGACAGTCGGCACTTTCGCATATGTCAGTCTGGCCATTCGGTATGCTCCATGTAACACGTGACTCACGTGACTCGAAACATGTTCGTGATCTGGCCTGAAAGACTCCTCGCCAATAACCTTCCTTGGCACTGGACATCAACAAGCGATTGGCCTTCACAGCATCGCGCAAGACCTCGACCGCCAGTCGGCGAGGATGGGGTACCAAAAACAGGTGTTTGGACCCAGTGACGGAGTTCAGGAGGAGAAGGGATGACCCGGTGCTGAATGTCTGGATGGTTGTGAAATGGAAACTTGGAAGGTCCATGCAGCAACACGTCTAACCAGAATCTGTGTATGACCTCAACCACCTATGCGCCTTTGCCACTTCTCTGCCTACATACTTCTGGCCAGGGCCCAAAGCCTACCATCCTGCACGGGAGCCCACCACAGGAGCTTCTGAACGAACCTTCATACAATTTTGAAATATACTCCACTTTGCAGCGGAGGTCAAATCAATGTGGCAACAACAAGCAAAGAGGTCAGGGAAATGAGGGTGTTCCTCTACGAACTTGGTTGGGCCACTGGATGTTCCTGTCAAATCTCCATTCCAGCAGACTTCTATCTATGTTGTCAAGGTACCACACGAGCATTTGTCAATTCTTCTACGAGCCGACCAATATGATATGAGGAACGTCTCCTGGTCGGCTTCTGTGAGAACGGAAGCCGTAGCCCACGCAGTGGACGGTCTTTTCTGCTTTTGGACCCACTTGAGAGAGGAGGGGGTGAACGAAAGGTAGCAGGCAATCACAAGTAACCCTGGTAGAAGTCCACGACGGCGTGAACCGGCGCAGGGGGGATTTGAATCAACTCTTACAGGACCAAATTCAATGCACAATCCCAACTCCTGATTGTAATACATTTTTGCTAAAGCAAGGAGAACTCAGGTAGCTCAAGCTACCTTTCGTGACTTCTTGGTGCGGCTGGTGGTCCAAAACCGCGACCGGTGAAGATCCCATTGCCATCCCTTGTCCAACCAGAGCCTCCTGGATGTTGGTACGGTACCTCAGAGGTGAACCGAAATGCCCTTGCTGCTAGAGCTTCTAGCTACTGATGGTGATGGCCTCCACCCTAGAAGCAATGGCCTCCAACCTGACAAGAATGGCACAAAAATGAATCACTTTAAAGAAAAAATGTGTTGGTCGCCAGCCCATTCCGATGAGAGGCATTTTTTCACCAGGGTCCCGGCTCCAAGCTTCTCAACCATGGAGAGTTGCCTCGGGAGGCCTGGCCACGAACTTCCACGCTGCCTAGCCTTTGGGAAGAGAATTTCCCTCAAACTCATGTATTCAACCCGCAGCTTCTTGTTACTACTAGCGATGGCCTCCACCCCAGTAGCGATGGTCTCCACCGTGCGTAGCTTCTTGTTACCATTGCAATTCTGATGCATTGCCCCTGGTGCCCTACTTTGATACATTGTCCGGAGTCACGTTCTACTAGCACCTTTCTTGGAGTGGAGCGATCCTTCCTAAGTCTTCGGCTCATTCAACAGCTGGTTTGGCTCGTCCGGATGTGGATTGACTGGTTTGAACGTCGAGGCCTCCGAGGGAACCAGAAGTGGCAGTGATCATCTTAATCTTTTGTTTATTGCCGTAGGTCTTCCACATGAAAGCCGTTCCAAGCCTCATCCCAACCATTCTTGATGTAGTGGATTGAGAGTAAACGCCCGAAATCCAAGTTTGGAGGCTTAGATGGACCCCCATCTAAAGGACACCTTGAGGGTTGTGCCATTTACTCTGAAAACACTGTATTTCCATGCAGCGATTCAGATTCGCCTCGAGGCTCAAGTCTGCACCATGGCGTGCCAGCAAGCGAACCTCAGCAACTGAGCCTCTCAAAAACTGCAGACCACCTGGAAAAAGAATCGGCCACGATTGCTTGATGAACCACTGGCACCATCATCTTTCGGGATCTGGGCCAGCAAACCAAAGGTGTTGAGAGTCCAAGGATTCCCATTTTTGACCTACAATGATGCCAAAATACATTGAAATGCCCGTGGGTCAATCACCTTCAAGGCCGTTTTCTACCTAATTTGTTGGAGGACTTCTATACAAATCCTTACCCTCAGTCGCCCGAGTCGCCATGGTGAAGTCCCTTTGCGAGGCCGCCAGCAGCAGCGGGCTGGAGCCCGAGTCATCGAGTGCATCGACAAAGGCACCCGCCTGTCTGGCCAAGCGAACCTGACCCTTGGCCAACCTACCAAAAGATGTTAAGTGACCTTAAAATCCTTTAAATGCGACCCGTAACCTGGAGTATCTATAGGATAGTCTATAGGACAGTCTATAGGACTATAGGGTTCTTCAACCTCTGTTGGTATGCATCTTCCGTTCCCCTCACTCCCTTTCCAAAAACCGGTGACAGATGCTGCAGCCTCCACCTCCCGCCTCCAAAGCCTCCGTGGCCGAGTTCACATCGCCCGACTTGGCGCTGTGCAGCAGCTGCCGGTTCAGTTCCTGGCAGACTCCGCCCGCCAATCGATCCCACGTGGTGGGGATGATCTCTTGGGATCGGTCGGAGGGGCGGTCTGCACTTGGGGCACGAAGTCGGGGGCGAAGTCGAGGCGAACAGAATCCAGTGAGGCACGAGACTGGAGAGACTGGACCGGTTGGTGGAGTGAGTCTAGCACCTACTCCTCGCCTCCACATGTCCTCTTCTTCCTGTCCTTTCTTGGAGAAGTCTCACCCCCACACCCGGGCATCTGCTCCTCGAACTGCTGCAGCATCTTCCGTGCTGCTCGCTGCTGACGTGCATGGTGCATCACCGTGTGGCCTGGGATGTGCTGCAAGGTGCTGGCATGTGCTCCGTGGGAGGTGGGGTCAAGCATGGTGGTGGATGATCGTGGTGAACTCCACTTCCATGTTTGTTGGAGGGACGGTATTTTGATGATAATGGGGGTTCAGGTCAGTGCTGGAAGCATCTAGTCCAAACAGATTATATATGACATATTATGACATTAAGTTTTGCAACGTTTCATCCTCTATTCTTCAATTCCTCCGATCAAATGCCCAGATCTTGGCTCGACGGTCTCCTGAATCCTTCCCACAGCTTGGCAGATTTTGGGGAACCCTGCCATCGAAGTCCTTCAGCCCCAGATCTGGCCTCAGGCATGGGCTTGACTGAAATGTGGGTGGCAACCCATTAACACCGCCACCAACAACAAAAGGGGTACCGCCCAACAAACGAGCTTGGGCAAACCTGAGGGAGAAGGGGTTCCTTTCTGGCCCTGCATCTGCCCCTCCTGAAGTTGCTGCTTGAGCTCCACAGTTTCCCTGACGGCCTTGCGTCAGTTGTTGGAGGCAAATTGAGGTGGCACATGCATGGCAGGGGGCTCAAATCAGCTCCTCGCGCTACAACCAGAAAGGAAAAAACAAAAATGCAAGACCGCCAATTGGTATTGAACCGGGCTCAAATCACACAGTTCCCTCCATCTCTTGGGTTTGTGAAAGGCCCTGGCTGTCAGGAAGCGAGTAGCTCTTCTCAATCCAGTCTTAGGAGACCCAGTCATACCTGCCTCAAACATTCTCCAAGTCGAAGATCATGCTCTCGGATCCATGGTTTCAATTCAGGCATCCGGGCCCGGTGGCCAGCAAAGACTTCATCACCAGGACATGGCCATGACCTTGGATGTTTCTGGCGAAGCGCAAGGAACGAGATACACAGATGAGCACGGCTGGAAGAAGCGGGACTGCAAATGGTCCGCTACTACCCGTACCACAAGTCTCTGATGCTCCACAAACCACCCCGTAGACCTTGGATATTCACCTCCAGAACGATACACCAACGCAGTGGTGCAGTAGAGTCACGAAAGAACCAGAACCCACCATTCAATTGCAGTATATAATTAAGTGGTCTGAGTCTAGGATCGAGTGAAACAGCGGCCATGCACCAATCAGGGCTGGCAGTCGCGGTCCGTGCAGGCCCCCAAGGCACCGGACCCCACCCCATCAATAGAAGTGGCATGTAATGTACACTCTGACGAACACATCACATGGAAGTGGAAAATAGTCTCTTGGAAGGACTACTTTCCTTGACAAAACAGGAGGTTTCCCCATCCATGTTAGGGAGTCGGAGTGTAGATGGTTGATGAATAAAACCCACACCAACCATCAACCACCAACTCTTCGGCACCCGCATAGCTGCTATGTCAAGCCACGCGTCGCCCACATCAACGCGGTGAGTCCTTGAGCATCGCGCTCCTGCACCTGCGCGCGATGGTGGTGCAATCCGCCGTCCATGCCCAGCTCAGGTGCAGTCCCGCGTCGAACCCGGCCAGTTCCAGGGATGTCCCCGACGCTTGGTCATTCGGTCACGGATTTTCTTCCATCACGCCTTGGCCTTGCCCCCCAAGAGTGTGGCCACCACTTCCTCTTGGCCGTTCATGGAGGCCCTCAGTGCATCCGGTCCGTGTGGGGAACCGGAGCATGGGCCATGGCGGCCATGGCGACGACGCTGCGACCGACCCGACCCTGGCCGACCCGACCCTACGCGACGCCGGTGGATGAGCTCCGCGCCAGATGAGAGGCGTCCAGCCCTCGACGTTTTTGGCCTCCTCAGGCTGCGGGGAGGTGGGTCGAAAACGGGTCGAAAACAGGGCGCCCTGAAATCACCCCAAACTGTGCTGGTTGAGCCATCCACGTCCCCTTTGACCTGGGTTGGCGGGGTCTCTTTGCACTCACAGACGCACAAATGGTTCAGATTTGTTCAGCTTTTGCCTGTAAAGGATCGTCGGCTGCCCATCCGACAGTCGCAGCTGCTAACGGGGACCCATCGCAAACTCGAAATGATGACTGAACCGACCGTGACCCACCTGTCCCTCGCAAGGATGTAGGCAGCAAGTGAACAAAAACAAATGCAACTAAAGGCAGCGTGGTAAAAGTATGGTAAAAGTCCACCGTTAAGAGTTTGGCACAAGAGTTTGGTCTTGAGCTGGATGTCGCGTAGCTCAGGGTGCACAAGTAGTCTTCCGTGTGTTGTGGCGCTGTTAGTGGTTGTTTGGGTCAAAGCCGGACTGGCTCGTGTTCACGGGCCCCCCCCGCTCTTCACATCAAGTTGCCAATGCAGCCTTGTGGACCAGCAGGGCACGAACCACAGAGGTGTGCCCTAGCCAGATCGGTGTGGAGACCACAGGCGCTCCAAACCAAAGTCGACATCATGAGCTAGAGCAGCGGCTCTAGTAGCCTTCGCCATCTACTCCATCAACTAACCAGGGACCATTGGGATATATTGGGACCTAGGGACCTCCATTTGCGGGGTGGGCAGTGAAGCTGGCGTCTGTACCGAACTGTACCGAATTCTTTCAAGAAAACGGTCAGACCAAGGCTTCGGTCCCCAAAGGGTCGGTCACGGCCGTTGCGGGGCGCAAGCAAAACGGCGTGCGGGGGCAAAACGGCTCTGCACGACCATCCACCAGAAATAGATCCAGCCATGCCCAGCCTCTGACCCGGAATATGAAACAATATGAAACATGACATCTCCAAGACTTACCCCACCACATTGGACCCCACACCTGCGCGTGAGGCCATCTGCAGCGCGGCGTTGCCCAGGTTGCAACTAGATTCCAAGTCGGCCTTACCATTGGCCGACATGTCCAGAGAAATGCGGGGGGGGAAAAACGTCTGTTGCTGGGCGAGCCCAAAGCCACCTCCTTGGCAGCTGCGCTTGCTCTTCCTGTGTGGGGCTGTCTGGGCTGTCGGTGTTTCTCCATTCTCATTTCGATGTCCTTGATGCTGCTTGGCCCACATGGTTGGCCCTGAGATTCCTAGCTCACAAAACCAGTGATCCAAGGCCCTTAAGGACCTTCAGGTGGATCTTCCTTCAGACACCCACGTTGGCAGGATGCCCGCCATCCGAACTCAACACTCGTGCGCAAAGAATTGGGCGCCCGGGCACGTGCTTCCTGAGGCACGGGCCCCCAAAAAATGCCAAGAGTTCGTTCGTTGAAAATGACATCTCCAGGAACAAACAAATGCCAGTTCCGGAATGTTGAGCGTTTTTCAGAGTATTTTCCGTTGGGTCGTTTTCAAAACCAGTGAATCGGTATGAGTTCATGAGGTCATCAAGGTTCATCAGTGGCATCATGAGGTTCATCATGGTTCATCACTGGTATTTGTGGGTCTGGTCAGGCCTGGATGCGACCCTGACAATGCTTGTCAAGTGATGACTCGCGTCAAACAGAACACAAATCGCTCGAATCATGTGCCGATCAGGGTTCAGGTAGTTGAACGAAATGGTGTCCTATATCCACAATGACTCCTGTTGCCAACCAGTGTTGCAGGCTGGGTCGGCGACTGATGCTAAAAAGGGGTGAACCACCCTAGCCGATTCCCTACGCTGGAAGAAAACACTGGCGCACTCTGGGCCGGCAAAGAGAGAACAAACGGTCCATGGATGTAGACACAGCTGGGTTGAATTGGTGGCTTCGATCGGTATCTAAAATGGTTGTTGTTGGCCGCTTGTTGCCAGGCCACCAATCGCTTTGGACAGAGCGGCGTTTTGGGCTGCTCAAACCGGGACAAACGTGTGATTGCCTGGGGCGGGCGCCCTGACTCTTGAGGATGACGCCTTCCACCGTCCGATACCACAGACGCTGCGTCTGCCCAGGCGCTAAGAGCATATTCACCACCTTCACATGGCCCACGCTGCATGCTAAAGAGAGGGAGGTGTATCCGAAGACCTCCTGGCCGTGCCATCGGAGAAAACCGGTTGCTCCGCATGACCCCCTAGTAGCTTCTGGTTACTAGTAGTAATGACCTCCAACCTAATAGCGATGGCCTCCACCTAATAGCGCATGTGCTACTAGTAGCTTCTTGTTGCCAGTAGTGCTACGTTCTTAGCGTCCGATCTCTCCGTTCGTAGCGATGCCCTTTGTTTCTACTGGCACAGGGGATGCATAGATCGAAGCCAATGTGGTTGGGGGCTGGTACTTACAAGTATGCAATCATCATGCGAGCTATGAGGAAGTGAGTTCTCTCGTCGTGGTCTGGGAGAAGAAATCCGAACATCAGCCTGGTCACCAGGCTTCTGCCGGGCAATTCCGTTCATTTGGTCTCCATTGGCACTGGTCAGGCCAAGTTGGGAGAAATGCCCCAACATGCCGTGCCTCCCTTTCATTGAGCCTTTTCTTGTCCATGTACCTGAGAGCAGGCCTCCAAATAAACCCCTCGTTCCTGCACAAAGATTCTAGAAAGACTATTGGACAAATCGCAGTCCTGCCATTCGGACTTTATGTGCTCCATGTTGCCGGCGCTGCTCACTTTCCATTGCTCACTACTCAAGAATCTGTGGTCCCTATGTGCAACCCATAAGGGTTACCACTAGCAGCACTCGCATCCACTAACGCCCATGGATAGGGTACCATGTGACTCCACATGTCAAGCTCCCAGAAAACCACATTCAACTTGCTCAAAGCTCCAGCTGAGCAATCCAACTGCCAACTGGCGACCCAAACTCTTTAGCTTGGCTGAGGCATCGGCTGGATGGTGTGCTTCAGGAAGTCCAAGTCCAGCTTGACCGCCTCGGACACGGAGCGGAGAGCGCCAGAGCGCACCCGAGCCAACTGGCGAAGCAGTTGGTCGACGATGATGGGGAACTCGTGATGAAAGAAGTTCCGGAGGCACCTCCAAAAACCTTAGGACCTAACCAGCCTAAGCCCAGCAAAAAAGAGAAATGAGACGGCTCCTCCCTCCGTTTTCAAGCACAAGTTCTGTACATGACAAGAACTGTGTTGGATTGGTCTCACACACCCAACACCCATCGCCAAGTCTCGCTGACGATGTCCACCACCTCCATGAACCCGAGCGAACTGTTTCAAGTGCGTGCCATGGATCCGTTGCCCAGGATCCGGGACTTCGATGGATCGATGTTCCTGTTTTGGCTGCTTCTGCTGCCAGACCAGAAACCCTCTACGGTGAGCTCGCCGAATCTCAGCCTTGCAGTTCCATGCTCCACCCACACCCAACTGGGCCACTTAGAGCTTCATTGGGTGGACCAATCGCTCGGCTTCTCTTTCCAACCCCGACCGTGACGAAGTCACCAAACCCACGCGGACGCGCCCACGCGGACGGCTCCGCGGAGTGCGGGAGGTCACGCCTTCTTCCCGTCCGGCGTGGCAATTCGGGCCTCTGAAGGGGCAGGGGGAGCCGTTGTGGAGACACTTCGATGTGAGCCTTGGCAAGATTTGCCCTTCCTTGCCTTAGCCCTTGCGTGCGCTAGGAACAAGAAGCTACGAACGGAACAAAGGGCATCGCTACGAACAGAGCAAGGACGCTACTAGGGGCGCTCCTGGCCATACTGCTAGTAGCAAGAAGCTACGAAGGGCTTCTTCAGGAAGAGGGAGAGGAAGCACAGCCGGTCAGCCCGGCTGTGCTTATGATCCACGAGAACGACGCTCAAGGACCTGTTCGACATGTTCTTACACACATCCTCTACATCTGCTGGATGTAGGCCAACGAAATCCACATCAGGCCTAGCATGTAGACTGAGACATTCTAAGATTAGGAAATGGCCAGCCTCTGGAGTGGACTTTGTTATTTGATGTTATTTGTAATCATTGAGGAGGTTCAGCCTTCTTTTCATGATGCAGTCTCCGGCACCTGTAGATGGTCTTGGAATCAGCTTGATGTCCAGAACAGGTGGTTGCTTCTCTGGGACCGGTTCTAAACGCCACACATGAAGCCAAGCAGAACAAGAATGGAATAGGGAGGAGCCACCAACGTGGGGTCAATATGCAGAAATCACACAATCAAGACCTACCAGTACAGGTCTTGGTTTCCTGCTGATGTTCGCCACCTTGCTTTGCGCTACTTAGACCACCTGCCACTACCGCACCCGTCCCTGAGCGTCACCGGCATAAATGTACTTGATCAAGGAAAAGCCTGCCGTGACTGCAGCCCTACTGAGCGTCGGGTCGTGTAAATGATGGTAAATGTCTCAGGATGAAACATGATCAAAAAGGCAAACTTGGCCAAGTATGTTGAGAATAGCACACCGCTGACAAGAAATCAAAGCGACACCAAGTATATAAGCAGGAGGCCATTTCATGTCACTGCCATGTTCAATTGGCAAAGTGTCCCAAACTGCGGTAAGCCAGGCAGGTGAAACATCATGATACATGCGCCCGAGTCCTCTTCCCTCGTGATCAAGCCAGGCATGTGGATTCCCAGGTCGCGGGCTCAATCGGGTCGTCTTCGGACGCTTCCACCCCTGCCTCCTCACGAGCCTGCTCCAGCACTTCCTTCAGCTGACCGGACGTGGGGGGATCTGCCGCCACGCGATCCAAGCGGCAGCCCAAGACCAAGCAGGCTTTGCCCAAAGTGGGTGACGAAAACAGTTCATGGTAACCAAAGCCCACGAGCGCGTGCAGCATGTCCCTGGCTGCTTCTGGATGCCCCTCGCTGATGCCGGCAGCAGCCTCCAAGCACATGTAGATCGCGCCATCATTGCTCTCACAATAGTGGTTCATCAAGTCGCCCGCTTTCTCCCCCAAAATCTGAATCACCTGCATATCTCCAAACGGCGCCAACTCGGGCACCGCTTTGGCGACCTGAAACACCGTCCAGACCGAGGTGGTGTTCTCACCGGTGGTGAAATCCTTGAAGGCGATCTTCTGGAGCCAATACTTCATCACTCGCACCACTTCAGGCTCCCCCCGCTCCGCCACACGCCGCAGCAGCTGCATCGCCCTGGCCGAGGCCTCGTCCGGGAAGCGCTCGGTTGGTGAGCTATACCAGTCCGTGCGCTCCTGGTCCAGGAGACCCACGCACAGCGCCTTCACCTGCTCGCTGGCCTTCAGCTCGCTGTCATCAAAGGCTTGGAGCAACTCAAGGCGACTCGTCAACGACGTCTGCGCCTCCTGGAGCCACTTCTGGTGCTCTTCGGTGTCCACTGCGGGTGGTAAGGTCTTGAGGAATTCATTGCATTCCTCCACGTAGGTGGATGGGCCAACCAGCTGTAAGGACAGCTCGCTGTCTTCCGTGCAGAAGTCCTCAATGCGCCCGGAAACTGGGAGCATCTCCGTGCCGCGGAGCAAGCGAATCGAAAAGGCGGGTCGCTCGATCACCTGCGCAATGTCTTCCCTGAGCTGGGCGACGGCAGAGTCCAAGGCCACGTCCTTGGGACCCCAACATGTTTCGCCTGCTAAATTGCGAACGGTCAGGACGGGCATGGCCAAAGAGCTGCCACTTTTATTTATGTCAGTGCCAAGATGATGTCAGAGGCAAAACGCACAAACACGTTCTGCGACACTTGAGCCAAAGCCAAGGAGACTTCTGTGAAAGCTCCAAACAAAGACCTATTGAAATCCCATTGGATCTATATGCCACTCGAGAACAAATCTCACTTGTTGATCCCATGTCGTGTTCGTGGATGTGCGACAAGCAAGAACAAAACCATTGCACCAAACTCAGCAGTGCCGCAGGTTCCGCCCACGCAGCCCACGCCACGCCCCACCGGGCGACTACGTCGCCTTCAAACTCTGACCTCATCGAGCTCTGGTGGCTCCTGCCCAAAGTGTTTCATCTTGGATTTCTTAAGAAACCGGGAAAATACACAAAAAAAAAACATTTCCCGGAAGGAAACAAAGAAATGGCATCCTAAGCAAAACCAGGCCGGATGACACATTCTGAAACGGTCACCGCGCGTCGCAGCTAAACACAGCCCCCGAGGGCGGGACACACGACACCGCACACACGACACAAATCCTTTTGTTTCAGCATGAGGGTGGGAGAGTGGCTTGCTGGCAGGGATCAAGATCAAAGGGAAAAACGTGGTTTTCACACACGGTGTGACGAGTCATGCTCAAATGCTTGTCAGGTGTGTCGATGTTCGGGGAAATGCGGGGAATAATTGAAGGCCACCAGACTTGCACCGCGTCACCAAATTCAACCTTTTCCACCACCCTGCTGCTGTCCAACGTCGCCAGCTCAGGAGCGATAGTCGGCGTTGATCTTGACATACTCGGTGGTTAAGTCGGAGCCCAGCACCACGGCCTTGCCCGGTCCTTCTCCCCCTCCCAAGATCACCTCGACATCCACCACCCTCCGGTGCTCAGGATAGGGCGACTCACAATCCGCAGCAGCAAACTTCAAATGACCACTCAAACGTCGCTCCTTCTCAGTGTCCAAGGAGAACTGCCCATTCTCGAAGATGGTCTCACCCCCAATCCGGCAGATGCAGTTCTGCGCCATCTGCTCGCCCAAGTGGCCCAAGGACCCTAGAGTCTGCCCCACCTTTCCGATGAGGCGCCCCACATTGGGGTCGTTCCCTGCAATCGCCGACTTAAACAACGGGCCGTTGACCACGGCCTTGGCCACCGAGGACGCGGTCTGGTCGCAGTTGGCGCCCGACACGCTCACACGGATCACGTGGCCGGTGCCCTCGCCGTTGCGCACGATCTGCGCAGCCAGGTCCATGCAGACCTCCTGCAGCGCCAGCTTGAAGTCCGATGGGTCCACCGGAGACGAGCACTGCTGGCTGGAGATGAGCACAACTGTGTCACTGGTGGACTCGTCACCATCCACTGAAATCGCGTTGAAGCTCTTCAGCACACACTCAGACAGCTGATCTTGAAGCTCCTCGCGAGGCAAATCCACATCCGTCATCAAGAAGCAAAGCATGGTGGCCATATTTGGCTCAATCATCCCGGCACCCTTCGCAATGCCCACCAGCCTTCCACCATTGGGCAGGCTTCGGGCGCACAGCTTCGGGTAGCGGTCGGTGGTCATGATGCCCTGGGCGGCGTTCACCGCGTTGCTGCTCGCACTGAGGTCCTTGGCCGAAGGCAGAGCCTCCACCATTTCTGCCACGGGAAGGCGCCAACCAATCCTCGGTTTCACCGCGTGGAGTCGCTGGGAGGTGAAATCGGACTTGGTTTGAAACTGCATGGATAAGGTTTCTGTTCGGCAAACAGCCTGGCGCCATAAGTAAGGTTCATGGCAGCACGACGCCCAAGAGCCGCATGACTGCTGGTTCCCAGTCATACCAAGTCAAGGCTCACACCAGTAGAGCTGGGCAAAACACTCGAACCACCCCCAGGCAGCTGCAAGCTGGTAGCCAAGGCTTCACAAACCTTCGCACTGGCAGACAAGCCTCCATCATCATCAGGCGGAGAGACATTGCCTTGGACTTGCATTGATTGGACCATAGTGTCCCTACAGTCTGAGCCGTCATATTTCCGTCATATTTCCGTAAACAATACGGCTGTGGGTCAAGACCTAGACAATACCTTGATTGACCCACGTGGCAGGTCGTTCCCTATAAAAAGGCGTATTTCAACGCCAGGCTCCACGTCTTCACCCTCCCAGATGATGAACAAAGGGGATGTGGAAGTAGACGTCACACTGAAACCAGTCCTGAAACGTCCCAGGCTGCTGATCTTGTTATTCACCACGATGGCCTGGATCTTCTTCTGCGCATGAATCGAGGATTTCTTGAAGCCGTCATTGGGCCCTGGCATGCCAAAAAAAGACAACATAACTTTTGGTTATATATATATGTGGTGGATCTATTCAATTGGGATTACAATTCAATTGAATCCCTTCTTCTCCATCCGTCTTTGAGTCTTCGACCTTCCCCCCAAACTCGCCCACCTGACTGGCCATCCGCTGCTTTCCCAATCTCACTGGAGCACCAGGGAATGCATTCTGAGTGAAGACAGCTGCCACTCGATCACTAGGCTCATCCAAGCAAAGCACGGTGAGTTTCATGGGCAGCTGACCCATCTCCTTGGCCTCCTCAGGCACAAAACGCAAAGAGCTGCATCCGATCTGAAAGCCCTTGGGCAAGGCGCCTTCGAGCTCCAGAGTCTTCAAGTAGTCCTCTTAGATGACTGAAGGGCGGCCAAGAGAAAAGCACTTGAATCAAATTCCTTGGACATATATACATACATTGTATATACACATGTCAACAGAAGGAGATATGTGTGTATATATATATATATACTGAAGTCCAGACTCACAACACCCTTGCCTCTATGACAACCACACTCACCACGGGCCTATCTATGTGCATTTCTTCTCGATTCTAGGCAAACCCTGCACAGGTTCCATAAAGGGAAGGTTGTTCTGCGCGCGGATGAAGCAACAATCACCCAGCAAAACCCTCGACTCCTCCTCCGACGCGAACTCACGTTCATCTTGCTTACCAGCCAGCCATTCAGCTCCAGATCCAGCTGCCCTTGCAGCTCTGCGCTCGTGCAGCTGCTTGGCCACCAAGAAGGAGGAGAGGCCACTCACCCAAACGGACCCAGTCTGACCCCGACGGCGCCGCGTGTTGCGCCCGGCTGAAGGTCCGCAGGCCGCGCTGACGCCCCGCGGACGCAGCACGGAGACCCTCGGGAGCTCCACTCCCGACGGTCGCTGCAACGCCTGCGGCACCAGCATGGCACCGTTCCGCGCAGCTCTTCCGCGCGGAACGAGTCGAGGGGGCTCGGTCGGTGCTGCGAACCTGAAGGGGTCGCGGGAATTTTGGTCCATGTGTCTCCAACACCCAACATGCTTCTTCACGAGCCCTTCCAATGTCTATAGCTCCGCAACATGTAACAATCGCTGACCAAAATGTAAGGTTTTTGGGATGTTTCTTGACAGCGTTACCAGGAGGAAACGTTGAAGCCTTGGAGTGAGTGTTTCTTACATGTTTCTCCAAGCGCATCAGTAACTCAAAGGAGTATCAAGCCGAGCTGAGGTCACTAATGGTACGATCTGTGTGGGAGTCCGTTGCCCATTTCGATCTCGCAACATCAGGGCTTCTGGCTGCTCCTTAAGTAGCGTCCTTGCTCCTAGTAGCGATGCCAGCCCCTAGTAGCGTCCTTGCTCCTAGTAGCGATGCGAGGAGCCCCTAGTAGCGTCCTTGCTCGTAGGCCATAGCTATTGACTTGGGCGCTATCATCCGGCGAGGCGTCCCCAAAAAATAGACATCCCAGGACCTTCGTGGACTTGAACCCATCAGGTTTTGAAAAAAGGGATCCATCACAGCACTGGATGTTCCGCGACCTTCGCAGAGCCTTCGCGGAGGCCGGTGCACCTGTTAGAGGGCGCACCCTCGGGCGAGTTGAAGTCTCGTCGGTCAGCCTGGGTGGCAACCGGGTGCTGAAGAGCACCGGCTGAAGTCTACAAGGACAAGTCCCCGAACATCCTCCTAGTAGCAAACATTGTTCCTAGTAGTACGGCCAGGAGCCCCAAGTAGCGTCCTTGCTCCTAGTAGTGATGCCAGGAGCCCCTTCAAGGCAAGTAAGCTCCACTCCACAAGTGAAATCATTGCAGAACTACTCGCTAGCCAATCCGCTAGAGCCAATCCGCGAAATTCTGTTCTGCTCCACTCCCGAAACTCAAAGCATCCGCTTGGTCTTGGGGGGCCCTCCGACTCCGGACTGCCACGAATGATGTGGTGAAAACCAGCACATGATCACATGAGGCTGGAAAGTAAGCCTGCAGCCAACCGTCAAGACCATGGTCTCTCGCGCAAATAAGCTTCCAGCCGTGGCTTGTCGGCCTAACGAGCATCACAGGCTGCAGGACCCTCCAACCAACTGGCTGGAACTGCAACCGCTCATGAGCCTACACTCCCCCCCACAATGGATGTCTGTGCACATGCTTGAGTTGAAGTCCTTTTGCAGGTCACCAATCTGGCTTTGCTCCCTCGATCATGTACCGGCCATACTCAGCTAGAAAATAGAAAAGCACTGGTGGCCCGTGGATGTCTGCAGATAGAGTCGATAGTATAGATGTCCTTGACACTTCATCAAATACATTCCCCACATTCAGAAAGCCCTGTGTACTAAGAAGGCTGCCTGGCCTGGTTTGCGTTTGATGGGCGGCAGCTTATCCGCAGACACCGTCCGCTCCAATGACGCCGAGGACGCGCTGCTCTTCATGGTCGCATCCACCCGCCGCCGAGGCCCGTGGAACCCCCCCGCCCCGGTCTCGATGCCAAATCTGCGCCAAAGCGGACGTCTTCCCCTCCGCAGGGCCTGCTCCGCAGGGCCTCCCCTGCACTCGCTTATTGCATGGGGATGGCCGACCCAGAAGAGCTTTTGACTCCCCAAACCTCCACCTGCCGGCAGCCACATTCCAACAGAACTGGACCATGCACCATCGTGCACCAGCACCGCGTCCGCGGGGAAGAAGACAACACGGGCTCGCCACTGGCACGATCGTTCCAGAGTGCAACTCGGTGAAGGACTCTCCACTGGAGACGGCCTCACCCCTCCCTCACCCATCCCCCATCTGAAATGAGCATCTATCAGTTTTTCACGCATGGATGGTCCGCCGATTCGCCTGAGCCCTTTTGATGAAATTCTCAGGGAGCGAGTTCTCTCCCCCACAGCGATCCTCTGGCAGTTGGGGATCTCTCTATGAGTCTGTCCGTTACGCTCCAGGGACCAGTCGCAGCCCAGCGGCCCAGCTGCGCCTGCCTTGGGCAGCGCCCGCTGGCCGCTGGCCACTCAGCAGCTCATTCAACGGCCGTCGCAAGCTCCAACAACCTTGATCGACCTGTTCTGACATGCTCAGTTTAAAGAGCCCTTAGTTGCGTCCTTGTTCCGTTCGTAGTAAGGCCAGGACCCTAGTAGCGTCCTTGTTCCTAGTAGCGATGCCCTTTGTTCCTAGTAGCGTCCTCTACCCCCCCCTCGATAACAATTCTCCACCAAACTACATAGTACCAACGTCTCATCCAAACCCGCCCAGCCACAAACTCAGCTAGCTTATCGAGCTTGTCCTGCAGCAACGGCACCAAAAAAAAAGATCCAGAGGTTCCCGCCAAACCAAAAATCCAGCTTACATATGCCATCAATGCCATCTGCTTGCCACCTCGCCATTCTATACTCCTGTTGCTGACCTCAAACCAGGTCAGCCACCGGAAGCCGAGGGCAACTCTCACAGCGAGTGGGCGTCCGATTGGGAAAGTTCGAAGTTTGTGCGGCTCCTACCACAGATGTGCTGCATGAATAATTGAACATTGGGGATCCGGGCTTTTGGAGATCAACCAACTCTAAGGTGTTTCACCGATCGAATGGAACATACAACACTGGACAAAGAGAAAAACACCGGTAAGTCTAAGTCTCTCTGGCTCAAGTGGGGGACGCTGTAGACACGCAGAAAATGGGGATGTTCATCACCCAGGACCTGGGAGTGCCACGTTTTCAAAGGCACTGCAGTGCCACCCAACACTGAAATGTATTCAAGAAACATTGCAATATATATATATAAATACAGTACATGCTTGCCACATGTTCCAAGCTCGTACTGGCTGTCTCATTTGGGTCTTCCAGTCTTGTGAACCAATAAAAATGGAGCCTGTAGCTCAAGAAAGGCATGCATCCGGACCTAGGCGATGTTCGGCAAATGCTGCCGAGCAAGCGTTGAGCAACGAACGCCCACTTCTTGAAACAATTCCTGGGCGACTTCCCTGTACAAATGAAAGTCAGCCGAAAACTGGCACATATACTTGGATTTGCTTAAGGAACCGTGAAAGAATGGAAAGATATTTCCCGGAAGAGGATGTACCCATAGACTATATACAAATCACCCTAAGCAAAACCCAAGCTCTTTGAAGCACGCGCGTGTTGTTCGCGCGGTTCTTCCGCTGCTCTGGCCACGGGTCGGGGGAGAAGGCGGGCATCAAACGTCCACGTGAACAAAAGTTCAACTGCTTTGCGATGTATGGCGACAAATTGACTCAAACATAGGGCTACCCTGGGGTTCAACTTGGGTGCCAGAATTGCACGTGCAGCTGTGGGAAGCTGCTTTTGAATCACAGCCTGAGACACACCCATATACACCCATTATACCAGTGCCTGTTGGAGCATTGGGGTCAATCTGATAAACATTGGGTGCGCTTGCTGTCAGCAAGCTTGGCTCGAATCCATCAAGCTCAAGGCAGACTTTCGATGTGGAAAAAAATGAAAAAAAAAAACCTTCATGCTGGATTTGAGAGTGGTTCTTGCAGCTTTCATTCGCTGAGAACTGGCTTGCTTGTGCCTCCTGCCCAAATCCCCCAGACCAGACCATTCAACTCATCTGCAGCTACTCATGTTGAACTTTTTCTTCGTAAGCGCCTGCCACACGAGAACTACAATAACTACAACTCCTCGTGATTGGGGGGATGGCGAAGACTGATTTATTGACAGGGGTCTGATCTCCTTCAATGATTCCAAGGCCTTGCCAAAAGCCTCAAGAACCCAAGGCCTGGCTTGGCTTTGACGTTGGACGATTGGCCAACTTTCGAAAGGATGGCAGTTACAGCAGCATGGAAATGCCACATCACCCACCCGGTCAATTACCCCAGCCCACTGCAAAGTGACCCGCTGCTGTAGGTCGCGGTCGTGCGCCCTAAAACGAACAGAAAACGAACCGAGAACCCCAAGACATGTCGGGAAGCATGCCGGTCTGCAGGGCTGAATTCACGAAAATCGTCGTCGAGTCTAAGTCCAAATGCCTCAGAGAGCACCAAGAACGAACGTCTTGAAGGTGTTTCAGGTTCTTTCTTGACATGCGCCCTGACGGGCTCGCACCTGACGGGCGCCACTCCAACCACCCATCACCCACCCACCCGCCCGGTCGCGCCACCGCCCACGGCACCCGCCCGTCGCCTCAGCTCCTCACCTGCCGTTGCTCCTGTGCTTCCCGGCGCGTCATCAGCCAAAGCCCGGAAGCACCGGTGAAAAGGAAAACCATGGTCTTCCGGTGAACAACTCCGGTCTTTCTGTGCCCGAAAACCACTGACTCGTTTTTTTCTCCCCAGGTGGCCAAGCCACTGCTCGATTCAGAACATTGAGTTAGGATTCGCTAGAAAGAAGGTGCCCGGCCACCCTCTCAAAGGAAGCCATATGGCCCCACAACAGAATCCTGCTGTCTGTGTTCTCCAGCAAGTTTGCGGCACTGAATTAGCAACAGCAAGTAACACCACAAAGCAACCTTCCAACCAAAGTACCAAAAGCACTCGCAACAATGCTAAGTGCAGGTGTCCCCCCAACAAACTCGCAAACCTGTGCCGTGATGACTAAACCACAAAAGCATCACCAGCCGCAACCACAAAGAACGCAAGAAGAAATCACCAAACACCAGAGATTCAGGCCGAAAACCACCAAAGGTGGCCCCCAGCACCCCATGGTAATGAACCCTTCAAAAGGACCACACCCGACCAAAAAGCCGAACATCGCCGGGAATACACCACCATCAGCACCACATGCTCCGTCCTTTCTTCGTTCAAGTCCAGCTCCCGCTCCTGGGAGGGATCCCATGAAAGTCCTGGACCTTCCGAGAGCTCCAGCACATGCCTGGGCAGCAAGTGGGCTCCAAGCGGCTCGGCTGGAAAGGAACTAAGACTAAGAAGCTTTGGAACGAAACCACTTGAAACCCATGTCTTCCATTAGAAAGGGGGTCATTGCCGTCAAATAACCACAAGGGCAAGCCTAGCAAGCTTAATAAAGCGGGGATGGAGATGGTCCTTGCTATCTTGTACTTTCATGCAGTTGTCACACATGATTCATGTTTTCCTGGTCTCCCTGCATCGTATGTGGTTGCTTCCGGATTGGAGGAGCACACTGAGCACACCTATGACGCTTGCCGGGTCCTGTCACTCATTTTCGCGGACGGCGCAACCCCCTATGATGACCGATGGGTTCCAAGGGCTGGTGGGTTTAGGTCATCTCTGAACCTACTTACTGTCAAATGCCGCCCAACAGCACGGCCATCCGTCTCAAGAGGCGTGCATCGTCTCTCTCCCTTCGTTCACCGTGGAAAAACATCGGCCGCTCGTCTGGAGTCTGGACCAGCCTTTTGAGCCAACTTCAAATAATGAGGTTCATGGTGGGTGGCACAATCCCCCACCTAGAAGGTCTGTTTTGGGAGCCCCATGTAAAACCAAGGACATCTTTGGGCTTGGGGCTTGTGCCATTCTACTCTGAAACCACTGTATTTCCATGTTCATCTATCAACACACCTGGGTTTGGTGCTTTTGGCCTTGACCTCACGTGACTTCCGCTCGTTCCCACTCATATCCAGCAGCAGCAAGCTGACCAGGCTGACCGTGTCTGCTCATCCTCCACGTCAGACACACGACGCACGACCGTAGAAACGCCGGACCGAGGGCGGTCACATGGCCGCACCAGGGGCCTGCCGAGGTTGAGAGACCTAAGACCCTATGGATCCCAGTGGTACATTTGGGGTTTTGAGGGCTGCTCAAGCTCTCTAGGTGCGCTGTTGGTGTTGTGCATGGTCATACCCGGTCGTACCGCAAGGCCCGCAGTCCTTAAGGTGCTGATGAGGCCTCTGCTCTTGATCTAACACGAAGAGGTCGCTCCACTTCTTCTGCTTGGCCATGGCAGCCTGGATGAGCAGATCACAAAGTGCGGTGATCTAGAATATCTACACCTGCCTACACATCCTCCCCAGCACAGATCATCTGCGAGGAAACGACCAGCACACTGGGTGACCAAAAAATGCTGGGGGCATGCGCTCGGAGACCAACCCATGACCTGCATCGCGAACGTAATGATCATGGCACGACATGTTGTGCACAAAGCCGGGAAACTCAGCAAGGGGTTAACGTCCCAAAGTCAAGAGAATGATGGGCCCATTTTTCTGCTGGGGCGTTGTTCTGAAGTTGAAGCCATGGACGAGGCATGACGTGGCTCATAAGGCTCAAGTTTATAAGTCCAGAAGGCTTCCTCAAAACCACCGGCCATTCCCAGAACTTCCGTTTTGACTAATTTTACTCCACCTGGTAGTCATAATCCACCACTACCATCGGGGTAATGGCTGAGTCATGACTGGACTCTTAGGGATGGATCGGGACCTCTCAGGGATGTGCAGCACTCAATCCAATTCGACACGGGAACACCGCTTTCGGACCGAAAGCGAAAAACCGTCGTGTTTCTCAGGGACGGCATCTACTGAACATCCTAAAAAGGGCTTGGGCATGCGCAGGAGGGCTGAAATGGGTTCCCACCATCCCGAAAGCCTTCCCAGTAGATCACGAGTTCTTCCCTTAGCAATCTCCTGTGATCCTTCCTGTCAGATGGCCGATGGCGAGGCAGGCCGCTGGCCAAACGTGCTTTAACCAACCTCCTCCTCCTTTTCGTCCCGATTCCTCCAGGCCAAGCGTCCAAAAATTTGGAGGCGTATCCTCAGGACGCCCCCCCCCGTCCCGATCCGTCCAAGACGGGGGAGACGGGTCGGGCCCGGAGGGCGGGTCGGTAGGGCCAACCAGCCAACCAACAACAGCAAAGAAATCAGCAGGGTAAACGATGCTGGTTACAAAAGACCAGCACTGAATAGAGTTCTGGTATTTCCTGGCATCGTTTCCTTATCAATGTCCTGACATCCCGCCCGGATTGCACACCTGAACCCACACCAATGGCAATGGAGTTTGCTAGAATCTTAAGTATAGACGGCCAGCGTCGAGCGTGGTATTCGTCCTTGTTAATCTTCCATGTTCGACTCTCTCCTGCTATGCCTGGACCCTTTCAATAGCAGGCACAAAGAAACAAATTGTTGATCATAGAGTCCCACAGTCGTTTTGCCCTGGAGCCCTTCAAAAAGGTGAAACTGTCATCAGGAATGGCGCATCTCACATCCCCCGTATATCTCCTCGAAAGAAAAAACAAAGGCGCTGGATCCCGTGCATGCCGTGTGGCGGCTGGCGCAGCGCTGCGTCTGCCAGGAGTCCATCATGGCATGGCAGAAGCTCTGCACGTCCAGGGACGCCACGCGGGAGACGTCCGTGGAGACCAAGTCGCCCAGGTAGACCCAGGGCGTCCACAAGGCCACCTGGACCGACCCGAACCAATCGGACGCTACGAACGGTTCGGGTCAAGGACGCTACGAGTTCCGGGGCTCCTGGCAGTAGCAAGAAGCGACTATATAGAGGCTAGGGGCTCCTGGCCTTACTGGGAGCAAAGGACACTACTAAGGGCTGCAACAGTTCCGGCAACACCCCGAAGCTCCTTCAATGAGTGGCGTCCTGGCTAGTCACGCTTGGGACAACTGTGTTTTCGTACTTAGTGCTCACCTTTTCTTTTACGGCTTCTACTGCTCTGTCGTTTGTTTGCTGGGTGCTGCCCAACGTTCACTTCTCTCCCGACCATGTCTGATCTGTGTCTGGGTTCCGGCCATGTCTGGGTCGCAGTCACGAAAGCATCCGACCGGCAGGGCTGGTAGGTGAAGTTATCTTTTCCGCCTTTCCATCGTGCCCCATGGCGCCTCACCATCCTTGAGGTGGGGGAAGGGTCAGCACAGCACTGCCCACACCCTCAAACCAAAACAACAACAAGGGGTGCGCGTCAGCGTCAAAGACAGCAAAGATGAGCGAGGGGGGAGAAGAAACAAAGCCAACCAGAACCAGAGAAGACAGAGCGGCCTCGGCACTCCAGAATCCGCTGCCAACTTCTTCCTCTCCATCCTGGCTCCGGCATTTGTCAGAGAACAAGGTGAGAAAGACTAGTGACTAGTGAAGTGACTATCAACTAGCTGCTGCCAGCCGCTCAAAACCTGACAAAAACGCCCAGCTTAGAATTAGAACTGGTGTGGGTTTCCTCCCTAGGCCTCCCCATCCTATACATCCCTAAACCTCTCCACCTATACATGCCTTCCCAATGGAAAAACGAACCTCGACACGCCTCGTAGCAGTAGGTGAGGTCGCCACTGAGCTTCAGATACGCCGAGGCTGCGTGGTTCCCCGCGAGGAAGATCACATCCGCGGCCGCCACCACGTTGTTCTTCACCGCATCTTGTGAGACCTAAACGGTCACCGCCGATGCGATCTGCACAAACGGAAGAACAGGGGCCACGACTGCGTGGTGAGAATGTCTTTTTCTTGCTCAGAGGCGGTGGGCGTACATGTTTTGGGGCCCTGACTTCGCTGGTGATTGCATGAAGGAACTCAAGTTTCAAAAGCGCAAACTTCTCGACCATGTTGCAACAAGGCACTGCCTGAAGCAGTGCCTTAACAAAAGGTGGGCGTAGTATGGAAAGCCCTATTCATGTCCCCTACTTACAATGTCCACAGGTCATAGTCATGGCTCACTGAAGGAGGGAGGCATGCACAAATGGTAACCATGCAAAGCTGAGAACTTGAAAAGGCTGAGTCGAGGCCAACCACACTAATCCTTTTGGCCTTTGAGACTTGAAATCAGAGCCTTCAGAGCCAACGATACGGATCAAAGAATTGATGGGCGAAAACGCACTCCCGTCTATGATGGCACACACATCTCATCACCGCACTCGTGGTCCCCGCTGCCCGGTCCCAGGTCAGGCACCCGCTGCAAGATGTGAACCACTTGTCTGTCGGCCCCTTCGAAGACCAAGTCATGGACCACCTGGGAGGAAACACGAAGGACCCTAGTAGCAATGGCCTCCACCCTAGTAGCAATGGCCTCCACCCTAGGCGCAGTTTCCCAAATGATTTTTTGGCGAGCAAAACCACCAACATCAACGGCATCATTATAGACAGACCGTCCCCAAAAATTAGAATGAAAATCAGCTTTGTCAGAGATGCCCCCATCAATCCAGACCCCCATGCCAGCACTATATCCGATCCCAAATCTCACAACCGTAAAACGCGAACCGGCCAACCTGAAGCTTGCAAAGCTCCTTCTCGAAGCGAGCAAACTGGAGTTCACCATGAAGCCTGAGGAATTTTAACGATTCGGACCAATGGATTGAGCACCAGACACTGGTGGAAAGGGAGCAGATATGATAAATATAAATATAAATTGACAAATATAGATTATATATATTAAATATATTTACATTGAAATAGGCGGTCTCAAGCCGACTCATGCCCAAACCTGGAGACCACCCAACTACAACCTGAGTTGTAAGTCCTCTTCTGGGCTTTGAAACCTCCTCTAATTTGTAGCTGCTCATGAAGAGGGACAAGTATTTTTCGGTTGGCTCCCTCGTTTGGGGGAACCAGGGCACCGCACAGCTTCGTTCCTCTCATGGTGTTGGGCAACTCCGAAACGAACATCGATGTCGGTGTCCAAGAAGCTGAGGAGACAGGAGCTCCAGCAAGGGCACGTCCATGTCTGCAGACCTCCACGCCAGCAGAGCTGGAGGTGGAAGAAATTCAAAAGTAGCTGAATCCAGGGGACCTCAAGGGGTTGGCTGCTACTCGACATTGTTGAGTGGCTTCATCATGATTCAGGTTGACTATTCCAAGATATTTGCAATTTCTCGGGTTTAGGCTTTTCTTGGAGGTTGAAAACGGTTGATACGTCGATCTCTTCCTTGCCCACAAAGTGCGAAACTGTGGTTTTGCTGGATCATGACTGCGCGCTACTCAGCTACTCCACTACCACCACCGTCCCAAAATAGCCCAGGAGTTTGCCCAGGAGATCCGCCTCGCTTGCTGCCTCAAGGTGTACCTCACTCCATGGCTTTGTTGCATCGAAGGCGGAAACATTCCAGCGGTTCTGGCGTTACCTCCTTCGGACCCATCGACACCCGCCAGTGCTTCCAGGAAGTCCTCCTTCTTTCGTTTCAGACCGTGTTTTGTGGCATACCCCTCATCAAGAGCTCTCCCCGAGTTTTTTGCAACCAATTCTGATCCATTCCCAGCTCTCCGTCTGGTTCCTCTCAACTCGCCCACTGCGCGCGCCGCAATGGCCAGACAGGCCACTGATACTGCAGGAAGTGCGTGATCTTCTGCGCCAACTGCGCTGAGATGTTGTTTTGGCTCATGTAGCACCGCAACAAACGGAACTCCGTGTTTTCATCCTCCTTGACAAGGGCCAGGAGGATCTTGGTAAAGGCTGGAGACTCCCACCCAGCAGGCAGATGTGCAAAGGTGCTTGCCAAAAGTCCATTTTTGCGGAGCAGTATATGATAGTATATGTCACATTCAGTGCTCTAGCAGATTTACCCACGCTCGATATGTTGTAGTGACTGTCAGTTTGCCCTGCATCTAGTTCACATCCTACTTGCCTTTAGCAGGGTAGAGGGCCAATCCACAGCAGCCCAAGCAGAACAACTAGTCGCAGCCGACTCCTTGATCTTACTGAGGCCAGCCATCAAATTGCTGACGGTGGAGATCAAAGTGGAGGAGGTGATCAAAGATCGAAAGGCCACGAAGATGCAATAAGCCATCTCCACCACCTCAGAGCTGAAGTTTGTACACTGAGCTTGACAACGGGGCTCCCCTGGAAGATTCTCCACAAGCCAGTCGTGCCAAGGGGTTCAAAACAGACGTGGAGGGAATTTGCAGCGCCAATCGGTCTTGGGCTGTTAGCGAATAATATTTAAGATGGTCTTGGGCTGCTAGCGAATAAAAGATGGCGGAAAGGAATTGTTTCCTATTGTGACTATCTGTGACTTGCTTGCTACTGACTGTAGAGCCGCTCCGGGAGGAAGCAAGTCAACTGTTGGCTTTGCAGACCGTAGCTGTAGCTCAAAAGCATACAACCCCCGCACCGGTCATGACAAATCTAAGTCGTTTATGGTTGAGAAACTGGCCTGAAGTGGCACTGGACCACCAATCGACACTCCAAACACAAAACAAGCCCTGCCAAATGTGAAAAGATTGAAGCCCCTTTCCCTGTTGCCAAGGCTCGTTGGTGGCCTTCGCGGGGCTTGAGCCAACCCCAAGTTGAGCGAAGGCCCAGTTCAGGCAAGTCAGGTATTGATACCTGCGGACATGGCCAGTTGCTGCAACGAAGGGTCGCTTTGACCGGCTGGGGTTGAACTCCAAGGTGTTATGCTTAGGCTGGAGGCCATGTCATGGAGAGATTGAGCTCTCTGTGTCAGGTTGTTTTCATGTCATCTATCGCCACATATCTCAGTCATGTCATGGAGTATGGCTGGAACATGTTGCCCATGACCTCCTGGACTCACATGACTCGCACATCAGAATTGGTGCAGGTCTCGGGGAATGGAGCATCCAAAGACATCTGAAGCTTTATACAGCTTTATCCCAACATCTCAACACGGACCATCCTGTTCAAGACTTTGACTTGAACATACCCTTCTGCAGCATTGATCCACCATTCCCTTTTTCTCGGAGGAAAGAAGCACCAAAAACAAATGAAAAAAGAGACACGCACTCAGCCCGACCCGCACGCTATCGCACTACTCCACACGCTTCTAAATCACGGGTCTCACACGAGATGCGAAGGTTCCATGTCCCACTGTCTCACACATCTGTGGCCAGGATGCTCCATGCTGTCATCCTGAAGCCCCAGGTCAGTAACCCAGTTCTCAGAGTGCACGTGACTCACGGCGAACCATGCACAAGCGACGAGGTGGTTCAACACACCTGAGTGGAGGCAGGTGGGAAGCACATGAAGGAGGCAGGGAACTACAGTAGTACATATGTTCATATAGCCTGCATAAGGTTACCTCTTTCAAGGCTCCCTGAAATGCATGGTCTGACCACCTATTTACCCTATATATATATATACCGGTGATTGTGTTCAATGCAGAGACTTGTCCAAGGCCCTGTCCAGCTTGAAACTGCCAAGGCTGCCCAGGATTTGAGTGTCAGAGGATCTGTGGGACAAGCAGCCTTCATGGCTTGGTCCAGTTTGGTTTCCATGAACTTTCGGACAGCCAGGTCATCCCCAAAATGAAGCCCAAGGCACACAAGTGAATCAGGCTGCTGAAAAGGCTGTAGTACAAAGTCGAGGCCTCCGAGCGTTCGGCGGTGAATCGGCTCGGTGCTGCGCAAGACAACATGGAGAGTGGCACAAGGGCTTACTGAGTCACTGAGCCTTGGGTGTTCAAGAGTGCGATGCAGTAGAATGCCCTACAGCGCAAGTTCTAGGTTAACAAAACTTGTCGCCCCTGCCAGCTGCAAACTCTATTTGTACTTCACCTCCACATGTCCCATATTGTCCCATACTGCCCATCTCACACGAATCCTCTCGCCCTCCTTCTTTGACCGCCACGACCGCACGGTCACGGTCCAAATCCGACCGCACGCTTGGTCGCGTCGCGTCTAACACGCGCGTCCGTGCACAGACGCGCGGCCTGCGAGGTGAAGAACTCTTGGAAGACCTCGTTGATCCGCCGGAGCTTCACCATCCGCAGCATCCGCATGAGCCGCAAGAAGCGGAGCATCCGCAAGCTCCTGGACCACATGATGTTCCTGAGCTGCTTAGCTGTAAGCACAGCCGCAAGGGGTGGGTCCGGATCCGAGTTCTTTTGAAGTGGAGCTTGAGCCATTTCCAGATCCCAAACAAGTGACGATGTATTTCTGGCAAATGTTCTGTGCTGGTTTAGCGTAGTTGCCAGGGTTACGGGGTTAATCCGAGGCAGCTGCGCGGTAAAAACTGTAAAAATTGAAAAACTTTCTGTTTTTACCATGTTTACCGGAGGGGCACCCCATTTTTTAGCATATCCGCGGCAAAAACGGTAAAAATCGATTATTTTTGTTTTTACCGTTTTTACCGGGGGCGCGCTTTTGTTCTAGGCGTCCCTTTTTGTTTCTCCATATTCGTGGTAAAAACGGTAAATACCGTTTTGTTTTTTCCGTTTTCACGGGGGGTACGGTCCTTTTTCTTTTACCATATCCGCGGTAAAAACGGCAAAAATCGATTCGTTTTTACCGGGGGGCGCTTCCTTTTTCAATACCATATCCGCGATCAAAACAGTAAAATCAATGTTTGTTCTTTTTGTACCGTTTTGACCGAGGGGGGTCTATGTTGTTTTTCCGTTTTTAACGGAGGGTCACCGCTGTTTCTTCTGCCATATCCGCGGTAGGTATAAATCAAAAGTGTTCGATCCAAGTGAAGTAGGCTTTCATTGCCCTGCAAAAGTTAAAAGTCATGAAATTTTGATCAATCACCAAACTCCTCTTGTCGAAAAGGGCACACGCTCCTATATGATAGGAGGAGTGAACCCCACCTGATTATAGGAAGATACCCGGGCTGTAACATTAAACCTTTTTCTTGACAGAGGTCTTCTAGCTTGCGACCTGGTCCCGAGGCATTGTCGCGGTAAAGACGGTCCAAAGTGAAAATTACTACTTTTGTTGTTTACCTTTTTTAATGAAGAGTCGCTTGTTCTTTTTGCTTCTACCATATCGTTAAAAATCAACGTTGTGTTATTTCCCGTTTTTGTAGGTGGACTTGTCCTTTTCTTTTCTACCATCTCCGTGGCAAAAACGGTAAATGTGTTTTTGAATCTTTTTACTGGGGGCGCTCCATGTTTAAATTTCATATCCGCTGTAAAAACGGTAAAAATCAAAAAGTTGTGTTTTACCGTTTTTACCGGGGGGGCGCCCCTTTTTCTCTACCATATCCGCGGTAAAAACGGTAAAAATCAAAAAGTTTATTGTTTTACCGTTTTTACCGCGGGGGCGCTCCTTTTTCTTCTACCATATCCGCGGTAAAAACGGTAAAAAACGATCCTGCGGGGTCGCGAAAGGATACCCCTTAGCAAAACAACGCTCGCGAACCAGCTTAGGGCAAATGTCTGGCAGGTATTTTTCAAGGTCTGCCTTCGGAACGGACAAAAAAGAAACTAACAAGTCTTTTGAACAACCCCAGCACCGAAATTTGACCTCACACAACTCCACCGGTTTCATGCTCAGGCCCCAAGTGGGGAAACCAGACTTGGTCCAGACCGGCAGCATCACTGGGGGGTCAGCCGGTCTACCAGCCCTACCGTGATCTTCTCCAAGGCTGCGAACACTCCACACCTGCCTCCTGAAACTCACAACGGCACAAAGAGACCGCATCTTCTTCCTCCACTACTGACCCCAAAAAAACTTATCCCGGCAAGAGACCCCAAACAGTGTGTGTGAGGTCTATAAGCAGAAAGTTTAGAGATTCGGATCCAGAGAGGTGATGGTGGTGATGAAGGTGGGGATCGTGGTGACAATGGCGACGGTGGTGAGTGAGTGAATGCGAGTGTGAGTGTGAGTGAGAGCCGGAGAGCGAGTGTGAGTGTGAGTGTGAGAGTGAGAGTGAGTGTGAGGGGGAGCATCAGGGTCAGCATCACCGGGAGCACCAGCCTGGTCTGACTGCTGTGTGAGTGTGAGGGAGTGTGGCTGTGCGTGAGTGGGAGAGTGAGTGAGAGTGAGTGAGTGAGTGCGTGCGTGCGTGCGTGCCTGCGTGCGTGCGGGCGTGCGGGCGTGCGGGCGTGCGGGCGTGCGGGCGTGCGGGCGTGCGGTCGTGCGGGCGTGCGGTCGTGCGGGCGTGCGGGCGTGCGGGCGTGCGTGCGGGCGTGCGCGCGTGCGGGCGTGCGAGTGTAAGAGTGAGTGAGGGTGAGTGAGAGCGTGAGTGAGAGAGTGAGTGAGAGAGTGAGAGTGAGTGGGTGAGTGAGTGGGTGAGAGTGAGTGAGTGTGGGTGTGGATGTGGGTGAGTGTGAGTGAGAGCGTGTGTGAGTGAGTGAGAGTGAGAGTGAGGGAGTGAGAAAGTGAGCATCTGAGAGCACAAAGTGCTACGCCTGCTACGAAATCTGTCTGCACATCGAGGTTCACCAAGTGCTGTACCTGCCACGAAAACTGCACTTCGAGGTTCACCAAGTGCTGTGCCTGCCACGAAAAACTGCACTTCGAAGTTCACCAAGTGCTGTGCCTGCCACGAATCTGCACTTCAAGGTTCACAAAGTGCTGTGCCTGCCACGAAGTCTGCGCGTCGAGGTTCACAAAGTGCTACAGTTGCCACGAAATCGGCAAACGAGCCACATGTCCAAAAGTCACGATTCACCGCACCTGTCACGAAATCTGCGCTCCTCGACGATCACCACCATGTCCAAAGTGCTGCACCTGCCACGAAAATGTTCAAAGTAAAACAGCTCCGATCCCTTGCACCTGTCACGAAAAGCCGACTTTGGAGCACCAAAACACGAGGTTTCCCTTGCGCCTGCCACGAAAGATGACCACCATGTACGAAAATGCGCACGGCACCACAACGAGAGCACAGTCGTTAGAAGCACCCGCCGCGAGCCTGCGAAGTGGAAATGCACTTCGAGGATTTCGAGAGTCATGAATGTGCTGTAAATAGCAGCGAATTTGCCGGTCACGGCCGCGCACTTCAGCGACCTAAGCATCAGCTGCCTTTCCCCTACCGTAAGAACCCCTTGTGTGTCCGCACTGTTTGGGGAAAAAGAAGCAAAACAAAACAAAAGCGTCTGTCTCCCCTACCACGTTCCACCAGCCCCCGAAAACCCACGTTCCACCTTCCACGTCCGACTCTCTGCGCGGTCCGACTCTCAGCCTCCCCAGCCTCCCCTCCGTCCGGGCGTCTGCAGTTCCGACTCGTTGGACCACTCCATGGCGCGAAAGGCCCAGTCCATGGAGATCAAACTGAGATCAAAGAGCATCCAGGTCTTCGCGTAGTGCATCGCGATGCGGAGCAGGCTAAAGACCAAGGTGCCTCGACACAAGACGAGACCAAAAAGGGAGACACAAGACGCAGTGGAGCCCAAAAAGAGAGGTCAAGACGACCAACGAGACCAACGACGATGACGAGAGCCAAGGCGGGGGACCTACTTTTGGGGAGGGGCCGGATGGGATAGATGAGAGAAGACACTTGAAGTTGAGTTGTTCCACCCCCCACACACATGCGCGAATGGCCTCTCAAATGGCCTTCGTCTGTGTTCGCGCGCGTGGGATAGGAAGTCAGGAGCTCTCCCATAGGTCTCAAGTGAACTTGTCCATCCCCTCTGATCATTCCAAGGCCGGAGAATGTCGATCTTGGATCGCTGGATCCGGCGAAGGACCGACAGAAGCCTTAAGGACCCCCCGAAACCGGACCGGCCTTCATCGTAGAAGCCTGTGAGGAAGGAGACGGCAAAGTCCAGGTTCCAGTAGATTTGAATGAGCCAATCCAAAACATCCCACAACACACTCCGCGGCAGAGTAAAGGCATAAAGAGGTATCACCAAAAGGTCGTAGAAAACACAGGCCGCCATCAGCAAATTCCAAACCTTGGTCATGGATCCGAAAAAGCGGCAGGTCACCCACACACGGCTCAACGCAGGTCACCGCACAGTGAACGCCGGCGAGCTTGTGGGATGTTCACTTGGGAAATATGGCGGTCCCGCAGCAATCGAAGGAACGTCATGAGCTGATGATCATTGACCTTCCGAGATACTGTTCTGAAACTCCCCCCTGGATGTAGAATCCATGTCCTGCACGGTTGACACAGGGGGTGCAATGATTAGAAATAAAAAAGCAGCCTTAAAAAACCACCCTTCGTTCCAAGGTCAATGGAACTATGCGTTACAGTAGGAGGGCCTCCAATTTGCCATTTTGGGATTCCTTGTCTACATGGTCTACACATGGTCTACATGTTCCTCTCCAATTGCACATGTCTTTTCCAACATGTGACCCGCATCTGACTCATCGACCTACCACTTCAGCCCCTCCCAAACAGCCGCAGCGCTCCTGGGAGCCACATCCGCAGATTCCGCCGAGTTCCTGAAGGGCCAGCAGGGGACGCAGGCCCTCGTGGCGGTGGGGTAGTTGGTGATTGCTATCCAAGAAGTGCAGAGAAGAGACCATCAGAGAGCCGGAAAAAAAAGAACAAATGGAAAAAGAATGCCCAAGCAAACTGCAGGCTGTGGTTCAATTGGTATTTTGGAGTGCCGGTGCTGTTTTCTCTGCCCAGCTTTCTCTGCAGCAAACCACCATGAACTCTGCGGCATCTCTGACTCGGCAATGCATAAGGTTCTCAGGTGGTCTTTGTGGTCTCTTCGCTTTGGTCCAGTGCAGCTGAAAATGAACTCAGCTACTTAAGGACCTTGAGAAACACTCACCTTCCGAAGTGCACCCCGAATTGCGATAGCTTTTTTGTGGTGAGAGTTCCGTGTTGCCACCCACAGAAACTATCACAAGAATGGATTTCAAATGAAGTTTGAGGAGGTTTTATCTTCAGGTCTCGGATAGGTCTATGGCACAAGGGGTTGCTCCCCAGTCTGAATTCACGTTGCAGTCAGACTGTGTCCGAATTCAAACGTAGGCGCGAGCCCATTGTGTCCTGCTTGCACGCAGTTCGTGTCAAGATGTGTCAACTGAAAGGAACCTTCAGCACTGCCCACCGTTCCCACACCCGTCCCAGCCAGTCCAAGCACGGCGAGCTGCCCCGTTCCCACCCAAAAGCTGCCCCCCACTGCTCCCGTCCCAGCCGCACGGTGGGCTTCATCGGCGCGGCGTTCGGCCGGGCCGTCGCGGCCGCGGCGAAGTCCTTGGTCCTGGAGGGTCGTCGAGGGAGGCCATCGCTCTCATCCATCATCCACCAGATGCATGGAGTTGTCTTTGTTGAGGCGTGCTAGGGAGCTATGGTACTGTGGACATGGGGGGAAGAACGATATGCCGGATCTGTGATTTTTGCAAATGATTGATGTTCAGGTTCACCTCGCCAAGTTCAAAGGAAAGGCCCTGCTGGATGATTCCTTTCTTCCCTCACAGTCGAACCCATCAATGTTGCGACAGCTCCAAACACGAAAGACCTCTAGCAAACAAAACACACCGGCATTTGAGTCAAGAGGCTCTGCACAAATTATAGTCTCATCGGGCACTTACAAAACTATATATATATATGTATGTGTGTGTGCGTATGTGATATATATATATATATATGTGTATATATATATATATCACTATGTGTGTGTGTGTTTGTGTGTGTGTTTGTGTTTGTGTGCGTTGTTGTTCGTTTCTTTGTGTATATGTGATTTTTTGGGGTTGAAGGCCTACTATGACAATGTCCGAGTGAGAAAGCCACAGCGGTAAAAGCGATAAAAGCCTTTAGAGCCCATTGCCCATCTTTGTTTTCCGAGAAACGACGCCGGGATGGATCCGGCTCAGGTAGACCGGCATCGAATTTCGTCTACGTTGGGTATGGGTCATTACCAGAAACAGTGGTGATGATGGTTTGTAAAGGCCTTTCTCAAAAATTATGGTCAATGATCCTTTACCCACACGTGCTGGTTTACAGGTACACCAATGATTGTTAATAAGGAGAGGATCTTCCCATGACCCTGCAACAGCTCTTTCATTGAGGCAGCAAGTTCCACACCAGCCGCAGAGTTACAGCAGGGTCTCGGACATGTTCAAACCATCACATCACCTCACCCATCTCATCACCACGTATCCCCCCGGTTGCGTGCCAAGCACATTCAAGCGCTGCTGTTCCCTCAAATGATCGCCCAAAAGGTGGCCACCGCTTCGCGACCAATTCGCTCCTCCCGCGGGTCCACTTCACCGGAGGTTTGGAGCTCGTAGCACCCCAACAGCTGGGCGCGCGCCGAGCGGCAGTGGGACTGCGGGGGTGTCAAATCCAGAAGTGGGGATGGGGTTGGAAGATGGGCCGGGCTTCAGCTGGATTTGATCTACCTGAAGGCAAATCACTGGATGGTTGCGCTGAGAATCGCAAGTGTCAGGCTGACACGCAACCCACTTGTTGATCTAAAACGATGATGACATCCATGCACGGCCCTCACCCCAGGCATCGCCCAGGCACTCGTGGCACGTCAATTCCACCACCGTTGCCGAGACCTCCTCCTCCGTGGCGGCAGGAGGCTTCACCCCTTGCCTGGCGGGACACATGCAGCGCGGCACCAGACATGGGGAGGCGCCAGGCATCCCGCAACTGGCTCGAATCAAAAAGGACTCCTGCCGCCCAGTCACCATCCAAGCAAGGTCTTCAAGGACTTCTCTCTCCTGCGGCAAGGGGCAGGCAAGGGGCCTTTACACTGTACACCAAAGAAACAAATGAAATGAAATACACATGAAATCTTGATCTGCGCTTTCATCCCAACTGTCTTCAAGCGTGTCCCAAAAAGCCAAGGACACTCACCATACATGTGGCCCACAGCACCCCAGCCCGCTCGCGAGCTTCGGTCTCCTGTTTTTGATCGTGGAGCGCCGGGAGTTCCGCCGGGCGCCTGAGTCCTCCATGTGCCGGGTCCTGCAGCGGAGGGTGAGGGAGAAGCGGCGAGCGATGTGCCATGTGTTTCCTCGGTTCTCTGCAATCAGCCGGCGACCTGCATTCACCTGGTATATCTTGCTTCAGCCACGTGCCCCGACCATCAAGGGCCTCGCAGGAGAAATACTATTCCTCGGTGACTGTTTTCAGCTTTACACTTTGGGGGCGGAAGATGTGATCTTTGGCACTCAAGCCACGACATCCAGTCAATGACATCCTTTTGGAAACAGTGGAGGGGTTCATTTACCTAACCTATTGAAATTCATTCTTCCGGAAACGCAACTCTTGGCCAAAAAGAATATTTATGTTCGCGAATCTTTCGCAAACTCCATGTTTAACTTTCGCGGGAGGTATGTGATGGCATATGCTGCTACAAGTTTTCTTTGTTTGGCTGCATCCACAGACCTATCTGTCGCAGATCTTTCGCAAAAAAATTGCCAGCATAGACTCCAAACTTCTTAGTCGGCAAGAACTGTTGTTGTGGCGGTTGGCGGCCACACCCGCAGAGATGAGGGAAGGAAAACGGCACGCACACACCAAGAGGACAAAAGAAGGACAAGCTGTGACCGGACAACGCGGAGAACAGGACAACATGAGGAGAGCACGCCAAGACGAGGAGAACACGAGGAGAAGAGGAAGAGAGGACAAGAGAAACACAAGAAGAAGACGGGAGGAGTGCGACCGGAGATCGGCTGGCAGCCGCGGCCAATGAACATCTAAAGAAGGAAAACAAGAAGGCAATACAAGACCATGAGGAGGACAATGCCAAAAAAATTGTCACAAGAGGAGAAAAGGACCTAGGAGGACATCCGGACAGGCCCCAACCGACGTGGCCTGATACTGTGGCCAGCTTCTTCTTTCCTACCGGAGCCCCGCAAGAAGAGGAGAACAGGAGGACAAGGAGAGGACATCGGCTTCTGCGATTGCTTTCTGGAGTTGTCGCACGCTGTCATGTTTGCATGCTGACAGGCTGCCACGTGGCCATGCTGCAGTACTGCGGTCTTCGTGCTTGCCAGCTGGCGCTTCACAAGGCACTTTGGAGCGGTGCTTCGCGCACGCACGCTGTCATGGTGTCATGATGTGTCATGACTACATGCTCCCATCTGGACACCGGCAGAAGGACAACAAGGGGACAACAGGAGGACAACAGGAGGACAAGAGGAGGGCAACGGGGCGACAAGAAGAAGACAAGAGGATGAAAAATAGACCCGGCCAAGCTGCACACTAGAAGAGGACAACAGGCGGACAAAAGCACAGGACACAGGAGGACAACGCCCGGAATTTCACCAGCGCAGCCAGAGACTGTGGCCAGCTTCTTTTCTCCTAGGAGAGAACCCCAACAGCAAAACGGTTTGGGATGAATCTTTACTTTCGTGAACTCAATCAACTCTCACGAACATCATAAGAGGCTCTTAATGAACCTAGGCCAGTACCTAAGCCTTTCGTCGTCCTTTGCATCAACTGCCTGCCATATAAGATTCAAGGCTTGCAGCTCAATTCCATAAGATGGAAACTTCATGAAACATCCAGACAATCCAGCCCTGCAAACACCTTTGATGGCCCTATGACACATGTGGGTCAATGCGGAAACGCAAGCTCTTGCATGCCCCTTACAGGTCCGGACGATCGCATCAGACTGACTTCGTCAGTGTAGCATCGTCCGTCTCAAGGCCATCAAGTTTCCTACAGTTACACTGTTCTGCAGTGTGTGATCGAAAAGGGCACATGCACATGCAAAAGAAATCAAAGGTCTGCAAACGCACCTTCGTGTTTTGCACCTCCACGGGCAACACGAGCAATGTTTGCAAACTCTGTTTCAGGCTAGCTAGCACCCCCTCCGGTCCGCGTCCAAGAGAAAGGGTCTTCCACGGTCTGTGTTGGCAGCATCGGACCTAGTCAAACCCGGAGGGCTCTGCACCGTCCGCATGGGAAGCGATGGGGAAGCCACAGGGGGCGCTCTGCACGCAATTGACCCACCATCCTTTGCCTTCGCCGCTCGTATCACCGGTCGACTGGGGGCACATCGGTCAGGGATTATCGGATAGACATGCTGCACTGAAGGGCAGCACGCATATCATAGAATTCTATAAGGATGTCTCGACCGCAGCTGGAAAGGCCTGCAATCTCACCAAACCTCTCAAAGCCTCTCTCGTGCTGCGGAAGACTTGCAAACTTGGAGATCGACAACCTCACCGTGCGGAAGTCATTCATCCCTTCCCGGGCAGGCCAACCAAAGGGTTTTACGTGCTTCAGGACCTGCTGGGCCACCCGCACATCGTAAAAGGTCACAAGAACCAGTTTCGTACAGGGTGCGAAGGACACGTCCAACCGGGCCACATCATAGTCCTTAAAGAGCTCCGCAGCCTCTGCAAAGGTTGTTGGGCACTTATCTGGGTGAAACTGAATTGTCAGCGTGTTTGAAACCTGTGGGCAGGGCGCAAAGCTGGCCATGGCTCGTCTCCTTTCCACCACAGCTCACCGGGGAACGTGATGTCGACACGTTGGCCCCAAAAATACGCGCAGTCTTGAGCCAAACACACAGTCAAGCGGTGGGCAACATGTACGCAGCAAAATATCGTCGGCTATCCTCCCTGCGGCTTCCGGCACTAGATTCATTGAGATTCGTTTCTCACGGATCACTTCGGGAATGAAAACAAGACTCACCCCGATGTGTGTTCCACCGTTGTGCACTCAGGGGTGTTCCCATTAGATCCACCAACCAATCGTCACATCGTCAAAGGCCATCTATGCATCCAATCATCTATAAAATTGCGGTGTCACTGGCCAGGAAGGCAAAAGTTGGTCGACAAAGACTGGTCACTTGGAACATCTTGATCATCTTGGAACTTCGTCCGCCGACAATCAGGTCCATGTGAAACATTCTCGACTTGGGAGCCTGTGTACTCTTGGGGATACCTGGATGGTGTGCTGAAGAGTGTCCTCCTCACAATCCAGCGGCCACCCCAAAAACAACCTCCTGCTCAGCGTAAGGGTTCTTCTTCCGGGTTGGCACTCTTCCAAACCTCCAAACCTTTTACACCTCTTGATCTCCCAACCATCCGGACGTCTCCATCGACCTGTCCCCGACGTCGCCCGTCCTGGGCGACACCGATTGCAAAGAGGGGTCGGTCAGTGGCGGCACGCTGGACTCACGCCGCAGGAACTCCTCCTCCTCGGCCCCTGCGGCCGGTGGCACAAACATGGGCTCGTGGAGAGGCCAACATCGGTGTCTTTTGCGGCATAAGAGGCACCGTATTGATCTTATGTTGACCGGGTGCGCCGCACCACCGGAAAGTCCCGAAAATCAACGGCGGAAGCAAAACGAGTGAGGAGACGAACGAGTCACCCAAAACTAAAAAAGAAGCCAAGTCTCGACCTTCCTCACGCAGAAAAAGAACCAGTGTCGGCGTTTGTGAGAGTTTTTCCAGGCGTTTGGTCAACTCTTCTGCCTCTCAAGCGCGCGATATCAGCCTGGTAGCCTCAAGAAAGAGTGGCTGTGATGAAGAAAACCGCTGTGGGCAGCCATGGGAATGCGTGAAACGAAAGGGGAACCTCCACAACCGCGGTCCGTCACAACGAGTGCTGGAAGCGGACCTGCACAAATGTTCCAAAGCTTCGCCCTGTGACTACGCAAGGGGATGAAGTGGACTCAGTAGACCATTAGTGCAAGGGATGCCTTCTGACAGTGAACTTCTACCGCCAATTTATAACTGGTTCTGGATCGCCACGATTCCTACAAAAGATTTGGCCCTGGTCCAAGGTGCGTATTGCCTGTCTGGTTGTAAATGAGGGGTGAAACACTCTGACAAATGACACCTTGGCAAATCCAGTTGCAGCAGTATGCAAGGCGCAAATTACCCCCCAAAATGAACCTCCTGACAGCAGCAGCTGTCCTATTGCCTCGCTTGTGGTGCTCATGACCAAGATGAGACCAACCTAATGTGATGCTTCCGACTTTCATGTTGATTCATCACAGATTGGAACCTTGAGCGGCATCCAGTTTTGATCTTCTCCAGAATGATGAGGGCCACTGGCCACACGCAGACACACACTCACTCCCTCACTCCCTTGCTCGCTCTCTCACTCCCTTGCTCGCTCTCTCACTCCCTCCCTCCCTCCCTCCCTCCCTCCCTCCCTCGCTCATATATGAATGTACTGTACTTACACTTTGGTGGACACTAGTCATCATCTGCAAAGGCCCCTTGGGCTCCGAACATTTCGCCAACTGCCGGTGGAGCTCCCAAAAATCTCCTCAGCCACTCAATTGCACAGGCCCAACTGTGAGAAGACCCGGTGAAAAACGGGACATCTTGAACGAAACCCACGCCACCAAGGGCGGCCGTTAGAAGCAGCCAAGATGGACGCCAGTGGCTCTTTGGTCTCTAGCCATCCACCACACCCTGAGGCTCCATCCACCACAGCCTTCAAAGAGCTCGCTTTGCAAAGGGGTATCTTCAACATGCTCTTTCGCCCTTTGTTCGTCACCTCTATGTTTACCCACCCCAATGTCACGCCCCCTTCCTTTCCGCGCCTGCCGGGTGAAGCTCCGGCACATCCATCAACTCGCCCTCCATGGCTCGAAAAGGGTGTGTCTTCACTCACCGGAGGAACTTGAGCCCAGGCCATGGGCGAAAAGCTGAGGTTGAAACCGCGAGCTTCGCGGCGGGGGCATGCACCGAACAAGGCATGCTTTGCGGCCGGGCCAGATTCTATTTTTGATTGCCAGGGTGGCCAATTCTCTTTCCAAGACTCACTGATGCCTTGGAGTTGTGAAATTTCAACATCCTTCAACTCTCAGGACATCCTTCAGTATCGCCGCGAAGCTAGGAGCTTCAGCAAGTCACCTCTTGTCATTGGGATCAGTTGAAACCCAAGAGATTAAAAGCTTCACCTTCTCAACAAATCATCGAAATTGAAATGCTTGAGCTCAACCATTGAAACGCAGCACCTCTACACCCATCCAATCTTTCGCGTCCCTTTTCGAGCCAGTGAAGGTAGCAAAACACGCTCCCGGCTCAGGCGAAGATGGAGCTGGCGTCCGGGTCGTCGGGGGCGGACGTCATGGATGGTCCACTTTTGTCGGAGATCCCTGACGTTTGACGATGGAAAATCCATCCCATTGGTCCATCAACTGTGCGGATGTGGGAGCAACTGCAGTCGTGTTTTCGAAGGCTGGTTGGGATGTCCATTCTTCAAGGCCCTTCAGTCACCAATCAAAATTTGAAGACCTTCGAATTCCCGTCCTTTGCTGTTTAAAGGCACATGCATATAGGGCCAGAACTGAGACGGGACAGGACACTGAACAGCTGCGATGAGGGCTGTGAAAAGAGAAAAGTATAGGCCATGCGAAATCAGGTTGACCACAGGCACCTTAGTTTTTCTCAAAAACTCCTGAACCTCCACGACAAAATCAACAAACAAGTCCCTGACAGTGTCTCTCATCTCCAAACTTCACTCCCAAGTTCTCTATCACCTTCCTCCAACCCGAGATCATCTCAGCAGCGCATCCGCATGGCACCCAAAGAGCCTCGGAACCCTCGGAACCCTCGGAAAGACTCCCGGGCTCAGCCCCCCCCCTAGGCTTGAAAACCACCTCTTTTTCGGATTTGGCCTGAAAACCGGCACGACCAAACCCAACTCATGTTTCAACGGGCCTCTGCGCCGCGCGGCGGCACAGCTCTTCGAAGAGCTCCACCGAGGCACCACCCGCCGCCTGGGCCCAGCGACCGAACACCCAGCGGCGGCGCCCAGCGGCTCCGGGGGAACGGCTCCAGAGAAGCGAAACGGAGCCGTTCTCCGTTGTCGGAGATGGATCGATTGTCTGGCCTGCTTCGATTCGCGGATCGGTTTCATTTTGAAACCCTGTCTTGTGATCCGAAAGGGCAGGTGGGACACGTGGCTCAAAAAGGAGCGTGGAATCCTTTTTGTCAGTTCCAAACCCGTGCCCGTCCTGTGAAGGACGGAAGTCTTGCAACTGTAAACATCTTGCTACTTCGGCGTATTGTCTGCAATCCACCAAGTCATCTACCAGTCATGGTCCACTGCTCTCAAACGAGTCCCATTCCAACCCGTCGGCCTCCACCGCATCGACCGCGGCCAGGAACGCCGAGGGCCCTGGATCGCCATGTTGGCTGCCTTCGCCGACGGATGGGGGCCACACGACAAGTGCCGGATCACCAAAACGGGATTATATCCGTCGGGTGGCGGACACACCAATGACTTGTCTACATTGGAATCGACGATGATGGCCTGTGTTGTTCGCAATTCCTTTGTCTTCCCTTGTTCCATTGAATTGTCGAGCCAAACCTTTGGGCGTTCTCATTTCTCATGGTAGACGGACGCCACAAAGCACCCCAGAAGCTCCACAGTTGCCATGGCTTTCCCCAGCTGGTTGATGCCCCGACGTTTTCTCGGTCGATCTGGGTGCCCCGAGCATTCCGCCAGGACCCAGAGGGCCAAGTCCCAGGAATTCTGAGTGGCACAGGCGCGGATCGCTTGTGGCGCCACCTGGCAACATCAGACAGGAAGCGGAGCGCGTTCGCGATGGCCTCCAACCTACTAGCGATGGCCTCCAACCTGCTAGCGATCA